CCGACCGCCCGGCCCCCGCCCCTTCCCAGCCCTCGCCAAGTGAGGGACTGAAGGTCAGATGATCCCCCAGCTCGTATCTAATTGGCTTCTCTGGAAAGAAGGGCCCGGCTTGCTGTTACCGAACAAAGAACCTCCCTCCCCCTGGCTTAACTACTGAATTCCCTCCACCTGCTAGGTTCTTTCTCCTTTCTCTACTTCAACCTTTGCCGGGTGGGGTGCTCCTGCAAGGCGGCTGGCTTGTGGAATTGTGGCTTAAATCACTGACCCTCCCCTAACGCACTACACCGCCCACCAAGGTGGGGACCAGGGACCGGTTCCCCGCCCACGCTGGTGGGAGCCTCCCTGCGTTTGTGGACCTGTTGTCAGGTGCAGCTCTGCATTACGCATTATGCATCTAGTTACAGCCAACTATGTAGAGGCAGAGGGCTTAGGGATGCACAGTCTTGTGACTTTGTGACTCAAAGTCTAGAGTCCTCCAACTTTAGAAACAATACCACCCATCTTAGAAAGGCGACCGCTCTTTAAGAGGACAAAGCAGTTGCCCTTGATGCTAAATTACTGGGGGGTTTTGTTTAAAAAACCGCCCCTCATTTTGAAAGAGGACGCCCACAGGTTTCTGGGATGCCACTGTACTTTTTACACCTCAGTCACTGCCCTCAGGACCGGCTAAAGTCTACATCTAATGGTTTCAAAACATAAATCAGGAGAAACGCTTTTTATATGGCAGTTACCCTATCACTAAACCGAAGAAGAGACTGCAAATGGGGCGACAGAAGAAAATATTCTAATTTATGTATAATGGGTTATATTTCCTTTAAAGGTGATAGCAGCATGCTTAAAGCTCTCAGTTGACAATGTTTATAGATTTGATTATATGGTACTAGATTGTCAATGCTGGACTTCACTGGAGAACTTTTAGTCCTTTTTTAAATAGGAAACAACAGCCCAGAGAGGGAAAGTTGTTTACCCTAAATCACACAGCTAATCATATAGAATTTTCACGATCATCTCTCTTTACTATGTTAGATTATAGAAATTATATGAGATTTCAAAGTAAAGGAAGTTGCTAAATGGAATGCTCACCTGAGCAAGGTATGTCTGAAATTGACTAATGCTTAATTATATCCCTATTTATAAGAGGAGAGAGTTAAGGCTCAAACCCATGTTTCAAACCACGTCTGTTTTTACTACACAGAAAAGCATAAAACTTTAGAGAAGGTCTAGCTATATTACGCCAAAAAATATGAGGAAAAAAGAGCTAACTGGAAAAAAAAGTTGAATGCAGAGGCAAACGAGTCCTTTCATCATTGACATTGCACCCAAAGCAGATTACAGTTAAATCCTAAAAGCAATTCCTAATTATTTCTGGGGAATGGAAACAGTGAAATTAATTCATGATCATAACCTTAAATCTAACTCCAAACTTTTAAATTGCTACTTTATGTTAGCAGAACAATGAGTTTAGTCAGATGCCCACACACTCATTTGAGACTTGAAACCATAAATCCCAGAACAAATATCTATAGCATGTGGACATTCACTTTTAGAATGTTTTCTAGTCCTTAGCAGTAGTTTATAAAATGTACAATAGTAAATACTTAATAAATATATTATGATCATATAAAGAATAGAATGCATTAGTAAGCATGCATTAGTAAGCATATATTTCTTATCAAATGTAGATTAATCTGCTTTTATTGTGGAATTCCTCCCCCTCCAAAGTAAAATGTATGACTCAAAAAGTATTGTAAAGCATCATTTGTCTTTTGGAATTTCTTTACTTTATAAATAAACTATGAAAAATCAGCATATCTAATTCTGGTGTGAAATAAAATGGCACAATTATGATAATGTGAGAAAAACAAAGGTGGTAGGGGACTGTAGCAGGAATCTCCTTGGCATTTGTGAATGGTTATAGTTCATGTTTTCTGGTTTATACATTTACATAACTCGTCCTCATTTATGTAACTTATTTATGTAAGAGGTTGTACTGCTGCTGTGGCCTTTGTGTGCCTCACAGCTTCCCTCTGAATCCGGAAGTCTGGAGCAAAGCAATCACTGGCAGTAGAACAGGTCATTCCCCTGTCATACTGTGTCAACCAAACGGATGTGCACTTTGATGGGATTTCTTTTGTAACTCAAAGGAGGGAGAAATTAGTATCTGTCTTCATTCATTTTCTAAAATGTAGACTTTGGTCTCTGACTCACCAAAGCAGGCTTCTTGGAGAAGAGGAAATCCTGTGAAGCAGCAGCCTTCGTGCCAGGAGGAGTGTGATGGGGTGACGCTCTCTCCACTCTTTTCCTTCCAGCATTATTTGCTCATGTCATTCTTTGCTAACAAAATGATGAAATCATGAGATTTGTATTTCATTTCAGATTTTAGTGTTGTCTTCTAAAATGGGATCAGTTATATAAGAGACTACGAAGAAAAACGTAACTGTTTCCTAATTTGGAAAGTGCTTATCACCATCATTCCCTGCTTATTCCTGCCCACTGCTAAACACACACCCCCCACCACCACACCATAAGAATACTTTTCTTGATACAGTTAACTAAGCTCTAATAATAACATAACACAGTGCTTTTTTTGTATACAAGTTAGCTGAAGATGTATATTTGAACCTCCTTTTTCACCATGGATACATTTAACATTTGTTTTTTTACATTTTAAAAGACTGAGTTTAAACTTGGTAGAGCCAAACACAATTATTCCTTCTTCCTGGTTCCTTTCAGTTGACAGCATTCTACACAACATACTCTAACAACAGGAAGCTCTAAAATTTAATAAGTACAAACAGCGTTTCTATGTATACAAATGGTAGGGGCATTAAGACCCCCTTCTCTCACCCCTTATTTTACATTCTAGAAAACAAAGATAGGAGAAGCTGTTGGTTTACTAGAAATCATACTGGAAAGGGAATCTAGACCTGTGCTGACCACATTTATGTCTATATACCTGAGAGGAGGTCATCTGGCTTGGCTGGACCTCATTTGCCACCTGAGAGTATTGGAACATTCTCTAAGGTCCCTTCTGCCTCTGGAGCTGAGCCATAGGGGTTTGTTTGAACACAGTGAGAGGAGACAGGGACTCCTAGACACAGAAACACAGCAATGTGACACCTGATGAAATTGTAATAGCAGAAGGTGAAGGCTGAGAATAGAAGAAGAGGGTTTCAAGAAGCACACTTCTTTCAGTGTGCACTTAATGTTGCTCAGAAGAGTGGGAATCAATCTCTGGAGCATGAATATTTTCAGTTGTTGTACCGGGATCGCACAAATCCCTCCTTGCCCCTAATGTAAATCTGTGAGAGGTAAGCCTGTGAGGGGAGGAGGGGCTGGTTATATAACTTGGGCATTTGTGGAAAAGTTTATATAAGATGCTAAAAATATACAGTACTATATATGAATGCTATAACTGCGTTCTAAGTGAAGAGTCCTAATGAGGACAACCTAAGAAGGTTAAATAGAGGTGATGGTAAGTAGATGCCTAAATGTAATTGCTTACAATGACTACTCTCTAGCCAAGGACAGCTCATGATTCAAATATTCTGTTATTCCCCCAAGAAATACTGTGAAAATTCTCAAGGGCCATTACCCTTACCGAAGGGACTACTCTTAATTCTTTTTTTTAACACTCTAAAGAATCAAAACTACTAAATGAGTATCTTATGTTCTGGAAGACAGAACTGGCCATCTGATCCTGTTGTCCACAGAGGTGCCACAAGTCAAGGTTTGACTTGATGGTTGATAATAACAGAGTTCTGGCGTGGCAAAGCACTTGATGTGCTGGATTGCAATGTTGCTTTGAACCACAAGGTTAACAGTTCAAGCTCAACAGTTGCTCCTCAGAAACACTATATAGTGTCACTATGAGTCGGAACCGACTCCACAACACTTAATAACAACAAGAACAAGAAGAACTGCTGGGGACAGCATACGCAGACCCTGGGTTGATCAGTGGCAGCCCCATTAAACTACCTCTGAATATAATCAGTTTAACTCAGATGCTCTCCTTCCTTCTGAAAGTATATAGGAATATTAAGAACAATGTAGCATTTTAGGTATAGATAAATGAAGCCCGGTGCCTGAGATCTTGCTCACAAACAAAAGTTTGCAAAGTGTACAGAGACAGCTTGGCTCCTTTCAGGAACCTTGCTTTATGTTATGTATCCTTAAGAAACCGCACGTTGCTACTCTAGATCATTTACACCTAAAAGTTAATATATAACAGCTTGATTGAACCTTTTTTTCTGTAAAAATAAAAATGTTAGATTGTTAAGAAAAAAGTATGAAAATATCTTAAAAGTTGTTCCTGTGAATCATTATGTCCTGTTTTGAATGGTTAATCACATTTCAGTTCCGTATCCTGTCTAAATCACATCCTCCCTGAGTGAATTATATCCTTCCTTTGTAACAAATCCCTCCCTAAAAAAGAGAATAAAAGGCTGAGGTAGAGTAAGTTCTGCATGCTATGCTGTGCAATGCTGGGCAATGCTAGGCAATATGTTTGCATATCTGTCTACCTGCCAGCTTGCATCATATCTGTGTATCTGTCTTTTTTGTATATATTTTGTCTCTATCACTTTTGCCGCCAGATCTCACTTCTTTGTGACACCCACACTTCCTTGTCGAGGCGGTACCCCGACATAGGACCTTGCTCGACAAGTCTGGCGCCCAACGTGGGGCTCGAAAATTAGGGTAAATAATTGCGCTTGGTCTGGTGAGGATGCTGTTCTGGGAATTCGCGATCCCCTCAGTCAAACAGTAGGGCTGGGAAGGAACAGGAAGGAATTGAAGAGGATGGGTCAGAT